GTAGGCCCTCAAATTTTGTTTTCTCCTCTGATTCCTTCTTATTTTGTAGAACTTCCCTGTATATGTGGACTTCCTATAGTGAATTGATACTCAACATGGAGCTAGACTCAGAATACCTTGTTGTGGTCTCTACTCAGAAGCTTGGTTGCCAGTAAAGAAACCCCAAGTGCAGAAGGCTAAAAGGTGAACTCAAGCAGAGTTTGAACTCCTGTATATTTGCTTTTCTGAGGCTCCAAAGAAGTCATATGTGGATCTTATGGACTTGGCAGTCTTTTTAGTTCAATGATCACTCAGAAATGGTCACTGTATCCATTGGGTAGGCCTGGTGAAACATACTAATGACTTAAAAAGCAAAACTTTATTTTCTCTCAGATCCAGAAGCTGTTAAACCCAAAATCAAGGGTTGGTTACCTTGAGGCCTCTCTGCTTGGCTTTACATGGTTGTCCCTCTGTGTAGACAAATCCTTAGGGTCCCTTTTGGGGCCAAGTGACACCAGACAGATTGGATTAAAGCCCCTTCTAATGGCCCCAGTTTTAACCTAATCACCCCTTAAAGGCCACTTGTGCTATTCCTAACATGGCAGTTGTCTTTCCAAAACTGAAGGAGGAAGCAAGATGAAAGTCACAGATAAGAGGTCACTTTGCTCTTGGAAGATATTTGGTAATGTTTATAGTCATTCTTGTTCGCCCCCACTGTGTGTGGAAGGTATAGGTACTCCTGGCATCTGTCTGTAGAGACCATAGATAGTGATGATCAGCCTGCAATGCACAGAACAGCTCTCACTGTAAATACATGGCAACGTGTCCACTGGGCTGTGGTTCAGAAACCCCAATTTGTTGTAAGGTGAATCATCCCAGAAGCCACATTTTGAAATATAGAATATTATTATACAGTTAGCAGACTGCAGGTAGCCAGTTGTTACAAAGGCCTGAAACACGCAAATACACATAACACAGCTAGGAAACAGGCTAAAGAGGAAAGAAAGAGCAAAACGACACAAACAAGCCAACTCAGCTCCAACGGAGAGCTGAATTGGGACGCCATGATGATTGGAGAAGAGCCAGGAGACAGGACACCACCACAGAGACACAGGTGGCATGTAATGGTGGCTAGTCTGGTCCAGGCCTAAATAGGTGCGCGCAGGGGGCAGATCCACAGGAAATTCCCAGTCCCAGACACTAGACTGACAGATTCAGTAACCTATCAGCCAAGTGCCCGCCTCTGCCTCCCAGCATCCAGGCATGTGATGGGCAGGAGGTTTTCTACCCCCAGCATGAAGACAGGATGCCACACCCTACAATCCACCCTGTGGCCAAGATGGTGCCGGCCAGACCTGACCTCCTTACTTCATCATACGTGTGCTGACATTGTGCAACACCACATAGATGATCCCAGTCCTCCTATAACCTGTAAGGTAAGAGTTATCGCGAGAGAGTATTATTAAAACACTGGGTCTTAGAGGAGTCCTCCCAGCTACCACATAGCAAGAGAGGCTGGATTTGAATACAAGGAGGTCTCAGGCCCTTACCTGGCTCTCCAGCATGAAGCAGGGGCAGAAAGGTAAACGAGAGAGTAAGGTCAGGGAGAGGAAAGGGAAGAAATGGCCTGACAGGAAATGTTCTAGATGCCATTTCTGTTACCTCCATTGAAATTTGCAGACCAGATCAGGCTCTGTTCTCTGGGAAAGGACAGCTTGGCAAGGTCCTGTCTGCGTCAGAGTTGAGCAAGAGCTGTGGATCTCTGTGGTCCAAGGAACCCACAGTGCCTACACTGCTGAGTCCTCTCCCTTCTGCCAGGGGGCCCAGCTGTGCTCCTGATGAATCAGTTCATTCTGCTCCAAGGAACCACACTAAAGAGCCTCTACCTTCTGCCTTTAAAATGACAGGCCTGTTTCTACACCCAGGCCTCCCCACTAGTAAGATAACATTGTGAAGTCATCTCATAGCTGTGATTTACATGCCTTATCATTTCTGTCTCACCGGGTTTTCTACTTCACGCCCTTTCGGATTTATTTCCTTCCAAATGCCAGATTTTGAAATTTTCTTTTTTAAATAATCATGTCATCTTGAGATAGAATCTCCATCTTAATCACTCCTCCCAAAGTATCTTTCTAGTCAGAGGAAAACTTTTTTTTATTTTCTTCGGGGATTTTTAAAAAATGTCATCCATCTTGGGAATGGAACTCAGGGCTTTGTGTACACTAAACACACCCTCTGAGCTCCGCCCCCAGCCCTGGTTAACCTCTTTGTGTGAAGGAATGGAAACATACAAATCTATTCAAGGCAGTTGTTAAACAATGAGAGGCTGTAAAGTCATGGACTTCTAGAAGATTTGTATTGAAATCTTTTGGATTTGTAGCCTGTATGAAAGTTCTTAGTTCTTACCTAAAGTTTTATATAAAAGAAAAATTTGGCAGGGGAAATTGTTTTCTCCACCCTCGGGCTACAAGAATAAATGAACCTTTTCATTAGCAGAGAATTGGTAGGTGTGTACCTGCTGGGATTTTAAAGGGCACACATTCTTTGGGTAAATATGGCCTTGGCATATAGCCACTGTCACAGGAGCATTGAGTGTTGTAGTTTTAGTCTGATAAATGTTGGCTCACCTTATTCTTTTCATGACCTAACTATTGAGCTGGGGTAGGGAGAGTTCTTCTCAGCCTTACTAAGTCCTTAACTATCAGCTGGTATCATACCAACTGCATCTAGAAAGAGATGCATTCTACTGGAAAACAGTACTATCCAGGAGTTTAAAAAAAAATGTGTAGGGCTCTTTAAAAGCCAAGAAGAGGGGCTGGGAAGGCGGCTTAGTGGTAGAGTGCTTACCTTGCATGCATGAGGCCCTGGGTTCGATTCCTCAGCACCACATAACCAAAAAGAAAAAAGCCGGAAGTGGTGCTGTGACTCAAGTGGTAGAGAGCTAGCCTTGAGCTGAAGAACTGAGGGACAGCGCCCAGGCCCAGAGTTCAAGCCCCACAACTGGACCCCCCCAAAAAAAAAAATGACTTAAAAGCCAAGAAGAAAACGTAGCAAGCAAAGCTACACAAAAGAAACATCATGTGATACCAAGTTGTCTGTTCCTTCTGTAGGGTTCTTTCTGATTGCTGCCTTGTTGGCATGGTTTAGTTCTCTCATTTAGGTGAGCAGTTTGTTTTGGAAGCTTTTGTTGGAAATAATTTTTTATCCAGTGTTATGTGTTTTTCCCCTCTCTGATCCTTTAATTCTTTTAGTTTTTGATTATTGTACATAGAAATTCATTACAATTCAAGTGTTTTTTTCTGACATTGGCTACAATAAGAAATTGATTTATATTGTGACACAGCACAATGCATATTACATGCTTATAAAACTAAAAGTTCTGCAAAAATACACTCACTCTTACTCCACTTAATTCACTTTAATAGGTTAATTTTCTCTATTCCATTCTAAATTAGTACAATCTCTTTTTTTAGACATTGCCTGTGCATTTAATTTTGTAGCTCACCCAAGTGACACAACCTGTACTTGGAAAAAAAGATTACATTATTTGAACTATGATCTAAATAATGGTAATTTATTGCATGCTGATGGAAGTTGAAGTGCATGTAATTAGCACTTTCTGGGATCATTTTGTGTGGGACTTGTAATATTACTCACCCAATTCTTTGGTAGAATTATAATGCACTCATAATTTCACCCTTTTCCAATTTTGATTGTCAGATCTGAAAACTGCTTATCAGTTTTCTTTCTACATCTGCAAACAGACAGAGTCTTGGGGAGCTCTTGTTGGAGCTCTTGTTGAAGTCATGGTGGGGTTGGGGCACATGGTGTCACTTGGCTGTGTCAAGGTACATGCAGAGACAAGGGAGTGTATGCGGAAGAGCCCACGCTAGGGAAGTACGAGCTCCTATCCAGATTCACCAACAGTAGCCTGCACCATGGAAAGAGGAATAGCCAAGTAAAGACTGGACAGAGGGAAAGGAAGCAAAGCATAAAGCAATTCCCCAGTCAAACACTAAAACTTCTAAGGGCTCTTTTCTTACTGTTGTGGCCTTGGTTAGGAGGTAGAAGACGCTCCAGAGCTCCTCTCCCTAGCATCACACGTGCTCAGATTCACTCATAGTAATTAAATTCCATGAGCTGCTTACTTTTAATAACTGAATGTAATATTGAGGTGGTACATTTCTCCTTACCCATATTGTACAGCATCAAATGCTAGGCACTAGATTATTTCATTTATAAGTAGGACAACATACACATAAGAAACTTGAAAAGCAAAAGTAAAATTACATGTTTAATTTTCACAATGATTTTTTATCATCATTCAATTTTCAGTTAGTATTCATATTCCCTCCTTAATGATCCTAAAAATACTTTGTTTTTATATTTTGTATATTCTAATTAGGACTTACATGTTAGGGTATAATTTTAATACATTTAATGCATTTTAATATATTTTAATTGGCTGGTTTGTCTTATTTGTTTGTTTATTGATTGATTGATTTTGGTGATTCTGAGGTTTGAACTAAAGAGAATTGTGTTTACTAGGTGTCAGGCTGCTGGAGGAAGTAAGCAGCTGGGAAAAGTATCAGGCCACTGGGGACAAACAGTATGCTGCCAACAAAGACCATCTGAGGGCGGGGAAGGTGGCTCAGTGGTAGAGTGCTTGCCTTGCATGCATGAGGCCCTGGGTTCAATTCCTTAGCACCATATAAGCAGAAAAAGCCAGAAGTGGTGCTGTGGCTCAAGTGGCAGAACACTAGCCTTGAGCTGAGGAGCTGAGGGACAGCACCCTGATCCAGAGTTTAGGCCCACAACCGACAGAAACAAAACAAAACAAAACACCATCTGAGTCAACTATTCTTCAAGTACACTGACCTAAAACCATTCAAATGGGCAAAATAAGCTATACGCTACAAGTCCTCACTTACTATAAGTTCTGCTTTTACCTCGCCTATAAAAGCTCTGCTACAACCAAACTCAGTGTAACCTCTCTGATCCTGACCAGGGAGTTTACCCAGGGGCATACCCCATTTAACTTTCCTGGCAATCTTTTTATTCCTCTCTGTGTGGTCCTTTTCTCTCCTAAACCTTAAACTAGGCACTCAACCACTTTAGCTACCTTTTTTTTTTCTTTGCAATGATTGTTTTTGAGGTAAAGTCTCATTTTATTGCTATTCTGGCCTGGACCATGATGCTCCAACTTATGCTTTTCTGTATTACTGTATTACTGCATGTGACACTGTGCCTAGCCATTGGTCAAGATGGAGTCTTATCATTTTTTTCCAAGGCTAGTTTCAAACCCAAAATCCTCAATCTCTGATTCCCATGAAGCTATGATTACAGACTTAGCTGCCTCACTCAGCTTCATTTTTCACTTCTAATTTCCCTTCTGTGGATATTGGTGCCTCATGCCTGTAATCCTAGCTACTTAGAGGGCAATGACTAGGAGGATTGTGATTCAAGGCCAGACCAGTCATAAATTAAGGACCCCATCTCAATTAATAGCTGGACATGGACATGATAGTGCACACTTACTGTGCTTGCTACACAGGAAACATAAATAAATAGATCTCAGTCTGCCTATTTATGGGCATACGTGCAAGACCTTACTCATAAAATAATGAAGGTCAAAGGGTTGAGGATGTAGCTTAAGTCATAAAATGCCATACAGCCCTGGGTTCAACCCTCTGTACCACAAAAATGAAGGAAGGAAAGAAGGAAGGAAGGAAGGAAGGAAGGAAGGAAGGAAGGAAGGAAGGAAGGAAGGAAGGAAGGAAGGAAGGAAGGAAGGAAAAAGAGATTTTTCACGGAAATGCAAATTCAATTTGTTCATCAGCTGGGGAAAAAGGTATTTCTTAGCTTCTGCAAATGGGGAGAGGAAGGAAACTTGGTTCTAGCTATGTGGTATGGAAAATGATAAATTAAAAAAAAAATAGGCTCGCCTCGCTGGCCTCCTTCATTTCTGAGATCACCTCTAATGGATTCCTTTATATTTCTAAAAGGCCCAATTTAAAATACAACTGCATCACATTCTCTAGTTTATCTCCTTTTTACAAGAAATTTATTTACTTCTAATACTGTTTCCTCCATTGTTTTCCAGTACAATATGTGTAAATAATGTCCCAGGATGTAGCAAGCTTGGTGAAACATCTCAGAGTCAACTCTATGCAGCAGAATTTCAATACTGAATGCATTTAGTTGTCCTCTAATTCTTAGAAAACTGATAACCATGGCTGTACTGCCAGTTTATATGTTTGCAGAACAGGTTTTCCCATGCTGAATTAAATAAACTATTCTCATTTCCAGTCAATGCCCATTTCCTACTCTTCAAAACTTATAAAGTATGTCACTGTATTTCTAAGCAATAAGAATTTAGAAATCATAAGCTTTAGTTTTCTTTTTCTTTTGCCATAATGCTATTCCACTATTTTCACCTGGATTTCAGGTGATATGCATACCAAGAGATATGTCCAAGAGTAGAAATGCCATGTGATTGTAACCTACAATACAGTAGTCACGTCAATTTTAAAATCACCTTCACTGAGGTATAATATATATACATAGAAATATGACATAACTGCACCCATTTTAAGAGTTTAATGAATCTTTATAGAAGTATACATTTGTACAGCTTCCACACTAGAGAAGATATACATAATACATTTTCACTGTTCCAAAAACTTTACTTATGTCTCTTTAAAGCCACCCTCTCCACACCTGACTCTGGGCAGTGGATGATCTTATTTTTGTCAATAGAGATTGTATCTGCTCTGAAATTTAATGAATGGAATCAGAAAATATATACTTATATGTTCATGGTTTCTTCAACTCAAGGTAAGTTGTTGATATTCATCCATGTTATGACATATTTGATATTCGCTACTATTTATTACTAAAACCATGATATGATTTAGACACATCATAATTTGTTTATCCATTTATCTTTTGATAAACATTTTGATTATTTCCAGTTCTTGGTTATTTTGAACAAAGGTGCCAAGGCAAATGTAACAAGCCTGTATGTACATATGCTTTCAAATCTCTTGGGAAGAACAACTGGCAAGGATTTGAACACATTTATTTCAAAAGTTGTCAAGTGTCTCCCCATGAGTATGATATGAAGATTTCAGTTGTTCTAAGTCTTTGCCAACATTTGCTTTTGTCAGTCTTTTAATTAGTTAATTACAGAGAAGCTCTCCCTATAGTTTTAAGTTATATCTCCAGGAGGATGAAAAATGTTGAGCAAATGTTCATGTGCTGTTGCCTTATTTGTATATCTTCTTTTGCAAATAAATTTCCTATTCTTTTTTACTTGGGTTAACTTATTAGCTCCTTAGTCTAGATCCATGTCATATATGTGTATTTTTTCTCCCAGATACATGTATTATTAATTTTTTCTCTTTTTTCTTCTTTTGTGCTGGTACTTGGTCTTGAAGTTAGACTTTTATGCTTATTTACCTCAGGAGGAATAGTCCAATGCTAGTTATTCTGACATACTCAAAAGAAAAGCAGGCCATGATTCAAACCCAAGAACATGAAAAAATGATGTTTAAACTTCCTCTATATTTTCCATCCAACTTTCTAACCATATGACACTCATATTTATAGAATATATTAGGGAATTTAGTATTTTAAGCCTGAAAAACCAACCTAATTGACTTGGCCATGTAAAACATTGTACAGATCTGAGATTGACTAAGAGAGCTGAATGACTAGTGATCAAGCCTTCTCCATCTTGCTGCCTTTGAACCTGGTCCTTAGCTTTACTGGATGATTTACTGAGTCTGGTTTCAACTTTGTATCATGGAGGAGTCTGGGACAGAAAATAAAAAAATACATTTAAATGGCCTACTACTTTTGTTCTACCAAAACGTCCAGGAGGCCAGGCGCCAATAGCTCACACATGTATTCCTATGTATTCAGAAGGCTGGGATCTGAGGATCATGGTACAAAGTCAACCCAAGCAGGAAAGTCTCTGAGACTCTTATTTCCAATTAATTACCTAAAAGCCAGAAGTGGAGCTGTAACTCAAGTGGAAGAGTGCTAGCCTTGAACAAAAATAGCCCAGCAACAGTGCCCAATCCCTGAGTTCAAGACCTAGGACCAGCACATGAATGTGCACATGTGTACACACACACATACATATACAAATGTCAGGGAGACTTCTGGATCCTCTACTGAAAAAGTAGAATCAAGTCTCAATAATGCCTTTTTGGGGGGAGAGGGAGTCCGATCATGGGGCCTGAAATCTGGGCCAGGGCACTGTCCCTCAGCTCTTCAGCTCAAGGCTAGGGCTCTACCACTTGAGCCACAGCGCCACTCCCGGCTTTTTTCTTTTTCTGCTTATGTGGTGCTGAGGAATCGAACCCAGGGCTTCATGAATGCAAGGCAAGCGCTCTACCACGAGCCACCTTCCCAGCCCCTCAATAATGCCTTTTTAATTGTATCCTCAAGTATTGTATTATAGATATAGGCCAATATTATATCATACCTCTGTGAATGTAAAATACCCTGCATCTGTTCTATGATACATAGTAGTTAGTCACTGTGCTTTTTCAGAGCTATTTTTTAATGCTTTTACACAAAAATTGTTTTTTTCCAGGTCATGATTGAGAAGTTATAACAACAACAGTGATGCCAGGAACCACAACAGTAACAGAACTTTACATTTTTCTGGGACTTTGTTTTTTTATCTTTTTTATATTTTATTAATGAAGTGTGCTGTATACATAATTTTGTTCAGATGCCTGTAGAAACTGGAAAAGCTGCTGCTGCTACTGCTGCATAACGTACTGCTATTATTGATATAGATATACACACATATACATATAATTTTTGGAAATTTTAGCTGTAGTGTCAGCTTTGGGAAAAATATTCCCAGTTTACCATGTTTTGTTGGCATGAACAGAAATTAATAGCTATATTGTTCTAAAAACATTAAACTTACTTTTTTTCCATTTGTACAGGGGCAAACACACTGTATTAAATATATAAGGTCTTATCTATGTAGGTTTGATTACAGATATTAATAAAGTATTCTCTAAAAAAGGGGAGAACAAACAAATGGATGATATTAATTTCATATTTGAATATTGTATATCTTAAGTGAGATTCTAAAAACTGGATATCTCTATCATCCTAAAAAAGACAATAAAGTGTTAATCAGTCCTATTTACAATAGGGAAACTAAGAATCAAATGAGCTTGACTTGTCCAAGATCACATGGTAGATGATAACAGAACTCAGAAAAGCAAAGAGGTAGTTAGTGAATTTCCCACTTATGCCCTGTGCCTGAACACAGATAGAAACATAGATAGAATATACATAGGCATCATAGGTATACATAGGTATCATGTGAGAAATGCAAAAGCAACCATTCCTTAGCTTATCACGCATCTATAATTCTAGCATTAGTCATTAAGTTTAGTTGAGCCATTGATGATCTCTTGAAATGCAAATTTAATTACCTTACATTTGTAGAGCAATGCACAATTTTCTTAATGTATCTTACATTTAATAATAACACCTCACATTTACTGCCAGCACTTTCTATTTGACAGACCCTATTTTGTGTGTTTGGCATATGCTATTTTTATCCACACTAAAATTCTATGGGAAAAGCACTATAATTATCTCCATTTAACACATGAAATAAAAGCACATAGAAATAATAACTTGCTAAGGTCATGTAATTATAAAGTGGTAAAATTAGAATTTGAAGCTAGACCCCAAATTTTTGCTTCTAATCATTAAAACTATTTACTTGTTATGTTGTTTGATTCCATCCAAAATCCTCCAAGGTAAGGGCATTATTAAATCACTCCATGAGCATTATCAAATAAAGACTCAGAAAATTCAAGTGGGGGGAGGGGGGAGGCTGGGAAGGGAGGTGAAGGGTAAACAAAGGAGGAGGCTGCAATGCTTGATAAGAAATGTATGCATTATCCTGACCATGTAATTGTAACCCCTCTGTACAGTATGTTCTCAAATAAAATAAAATAAAATTTTAAAAAAAAAAAAGAAAATTCAA